GGGTGGCTGGAAAGTTTTTACCCTTACGGTGGCACCGTAGGGGTATAAACTTTCCAGCCGCCCAGGGGCAGGTGTCCCCGACGGCGGAAAGTTTATGTTATACCGTTCTTCGCTCGCTGATCGTAGGCGCTGTGGTGCTGGATAGGTGTGCTGAGGTGCGGGCACATTGCCGTCGGTGGCCAGTCGAGGGCACCTCGTGAGCGCATGCCACCGTATATGTGCAGAGCACACACTGCACAGGCACCGCGCAGCGCGAACCGCGCAGCTTCGCTACAGAGCGTGCACACCACGCAGGCGTACACCGCGAAGCGTGCCACACACAGCTTGCACCACACTGCTTGCACAAGAGACCTTGCGCCACATAGCTTGCACCACATATCTTGAACCACACAGCTTAGACCACATAGCTCGCACCACATGTACTGCACCCCCACCAATTTCACCGAATAGGTTGACACACATATTCTCCTTTCTAAAAAACTAGGTTCTACCACCCTCCCCCCCGGGACTGAAAGACCCCCCTTTTCGTATTGAAATTTACATATGATTTTGCCCCATCGTCCATCCGAACTGTGAATCCAGACTATCCCGACCAAACCAGTATCACCCCCCCACGGTTCCCTTGCGAAACATACTATGCGCGCACACTCGTGCATCAAAAATCATAAGCTTTCAAGAGTCCCTTGCAACAGATGAGACGAAGTGCGCACGCGCGCGTCGTCGCGCGCGCACGCCGAAATCCTTCAAAAACCTTCGGTTTCGGAATGATTTCAAACAAGAATATCCAAAACACATACAACAACACAGTGTTTCGCAACACTGACGTGTTAGAAAAAGCTTACGCGCGCGCCCTTGCGAAATCTAAAAAAAAAACGTAGGTCTTCTTTCTTCCCGACAGTACTACCATGAAGGCTTCGCGCGCGCGCATGTCGAAATCGTTCGAACGCCCTTGCGCGCGTGCCGTCGCGGGAATCCTCGCCAAAAAAACAAAACGAGGTGCACGCGCGCGCGTCGTCGCGCGCGCATGCCGAAATTCAAAAAAAAAAAAAACGTAGGTTTCGGAGGGATTTCGAAATCGAGTGCCCAAACAATAAACAAAGAACAGGGTTTCGCAACACGAATGTTCAACAAAAGCGTGCGCGCGCGCTCTTGCGTCGTCGGCGTCGTCGTCGTCGCCGTCCTCCCTCCTCCCTCGTCGTCGTCGCCGTCGTCGCCGTCGTCCTCTGCCTTTCCTCGTCGTCCTCGTCGTCGTCCTCTTTGGCGTCGTCATCGTTTCCGTCGTCGTTGTCGCCGTGGTCGTCCTTCCTCCTCCCTCGTCATCGTCGTCGTCGTCCGTCGTTCACGTCTCGTCGTCGTCCCTCCTATTTCGTCGCCGTCGTCGTCGTCGTCGTCGTCGTCGTCTTCCCTCCTCCCTTGTCGTTGTCGTCGTCGGCGTCGCCGTCCTCCCTCCTTCTTCGTCGTTGCTGTCGTCGCCATCCTCCCTCCTCCCTCGTCGTTGTCGTCGTTGTCGTCGTCGTCCTCCCTTCTCCCTCGTCGTCGTCTTCGTTGGCGACGTCGTCATCGTCGTCTTCGTCGTCGTCATCGTCGGCGTCGTCGTAGTCGGCGTCGTCGGCGTCGTCGTCGTCGGCGTTGTCATCGTAGTCGTCGTCGGCATCGGCGTCGTCGTCGTCTGTGTCGTCGTCGTCGTCGTTGTCGTCGTCGTCGAAGTTGTCGGAGTCGCCGTCGGTGTCGTCGTAGTCGTCGTCGGCGTCGTCGTCGTCATTGTCGCTGTCGTCGTCGGCGTCGGTGTCGTTGCCAAATGCAATTTGGCACCTACCGTCACGGTCTCAAGAGGTCTTGCGACCAAGTTGCGGGTGGGAGGGTGGGATGTTTGCACGAGCAGTGGAGAGGACAACTTCAAGACAGTCAAAGGGAATTGCACCACATAGATTGCACCTCATGTTCGCACCACCTTAAGTGCAGCAACTGTAGTATACCAAAAAATACACCCCATATAAAGAACCACAAGGGTTGCACCACGCACATAACTCACATAGATTGCACCACATAAGCGTCACCCGGGGTCTAAGAACTCGCTCTCTGGGGTGGCAGGCATTCGTTTGATACGTAATGTGAGGATGGTTGACTGCATAGCAGAAAGGGGCAAAACAAAGAACGGCAAAGTTTCGGCGGCATGGAATCCGACAAGACGGCACCCCTGCGCTAGAAGGCACCAAATGGATCTTCACGGTGAAATGGAGAGGGGCCACGATGGTTGAATAACCAGGTAAGGACCCCTGACCCTTTGGGGGGGGACCTAAGTTCGGAGGGCCAAAAACATTAGGGATGAGGGGGCCTGTTCTGCAGATGTGCCGGACCAAAACGTCCAGATATTTTATCCCTACTGCCAAGACGGGGACCTCAGGGAGGCCACGTCTACATCGTGTTATTAGGCATAGGGGTTGTTTTGTTCTCGATGAATGATGAAAGGGGCCACGACGAGCCACGGAAGGGGGTCGCGATGGACCGCGAAGGGGGGGCCCACGAGGGGTCTCCGATCCCAGGGGCCCGGGCTCCCGCACGGGGCTTCAGAAGAGAAGACCTGACAGGCAGCCTGCTCGGGGAACGGCAGCTCGCCCGCAGCATTGAGGAGCTGCGCGGCAAGAGTGCAAGGGCATCGGAGGGCCACGTTCGCGTGTGTCGAAGGAGGCTGGCCAGCGAAAGCGGCCAAGGATGGACCGAGGAGGCAAGGATGCCAGGGGTACCCTTGGGAAGACTGCCCATCCTTGCTGTGCGGGATGGCCGTGGCAGCCAGAATACGTCGGGGGAGAGGCCGCCACGGCCCACAATCGGAATGCACTAGCGTAGAACCGGATATGATCCATGAGAGCATGTCAAGTGCCCGGCATGCCCGCCATTACCACTCTCCGTGCCCCACTGAACTCTCACTGAGATCAGGATCAGCATTAGATGAAGGGGCCCTGGGACACACAGAAGAATGCACACAAATAACAGGATTCCCCATATTGTGCCACATGTTTTGCATTTGATCGTCTTTCCCTCCACTTCCCATATGTTTCTGCACATGCTCCTGGGAATCGACGATGAATTGTGTCTGTGTGCTTTTTCTCCCCCCCTGAACAGACGCATTGCAGTGTGCAAGCACGGCGTGGCACCGACCAGCGCACCCCGAGGGCGGCAGGGAGGCACCCCAAAGAGGCCGCAGGGCCGCGGGGGCAAGGAGAGCACGCGAAGACAAGAGAGACGGCGCCGGATGCGCCACCGATGGTCCAAAGGCCTCGGGGACCACGACGACACGGCGGGGGGCATCGGACCAGCGGGGACCACGCGACACGACACGGGAACACGACGACACGACACGGGAATCACGACGACACGACGAGTTACGACGACGAGCATGATTACTAGTTACGACACAGCTCGTTCCAGGGCCTTGGACGATCGACTCCAAGGCTTCGGGAATCACGACGACACGACACGGGAACCCTGTGATATCAGGGAGCCAGGGTCTGGAGGCCAGCGGAAGAACTCCAACCGAGGCGTGGCCGCGGATGTCGCCGCCGCCCTCATCGGATAGGGAGCCCTCCAGGGTCTGAAGCCGCCTCTGGGCACATATCTTGACCAAGGCCCCCACCGTAGAGAAGACGCACACGGAACAGAGAACATACCGCATCCTGATGAGGGGTTTTCTGGGGTTCAGGAAAGAATCGCGGAAGATACTGGCAAGAGAGACTGAAGAAGGGCGGACGAGGCCTACGCCAAATTCCACTGATGGACAAGTGTGGGTATGCAGAATACTGACAGTACGAGCTCAATCACAAGTGAGTTCAACGCGCGCTTTCACAACCCTGAAGTCCTGGCATCCGCAGCTGGAAGTAGATCCCAAGATTCCGGTACGAAAACTGGACAGCGCCACCAAGATTTGGAGTGTCCGTAAAGAGAAAACTTGCCATTGCTAGAACAACATCATGCTATTGCGAAATCTGACATCGGTAATCAATGTGGCCGAGTGAGTGGGCCTTGTCGTAAGGTCGCGGAAGGCAACCAGCACCACCTGTCGAAACCACGCCTCTGACAACATGGAGAGCCGCTGCACATCCTCGGCCACAAGACTTGAAGGTCGCTGGGGGGGCAGCGTTGTTTCCAGGGCCAGATCCCCGTACGCTCGGCGGGCGCGCTTGATCGGTCAACAGCAATTTTTACAGCCGCCCTTCGCGAGAAGCTCTGATTTCATGTTTACTCTTGCCGACGATTGGGCTGCTCATGCTTGCTCTTGCCCTACAAAAGCATTGCCCTCTCCCCCGTCGCTCCAGAAACACAGATCGCGTTCGCTGCCCCTCAGCGAGCTTCAGCACAAGACCCCGAAGAAGGAAAGAGTAGATCCTGCGATGAGCATCCAGCTCGGGATGACCATTTTCCGTAGGACCAGGTCTGCGAACGACACCCCAGAGGCACTGGGCGCCCACACTGCAAAACGCGCAGGAACGCATCGCAGCCGGGCCATACCGAGGGAGGCAGGACAGAGGAAAAAGGAGGGACGAGGAACCCAGACCCCCTCGAGTCATGAAAAAATCACGACGGGAGGTTTTTCTATGTTTTCGGCCTCCGGGGGGCCTTACTGGCCCTCGGGACCGTCAAAAAACGACTCGGGGTGAAACACCGGTCCCGGCGAAGAGGTCCGGACCTCTGGGGGTCGCGTCATGAAAAAGTCATGACGTCGGGGGTTTGGGAGGACGGATCGGGCGTTGTTAGAACTGGATTTAGTGGAATCTGGTTTAGTGAGCTGTACCGGGGGCGCCCCCCGACCCATTTCCAGTAACCGGAACTACCGTCACCCGAAAAAATCACCAGCTATGGCAAACCTGGCTTGTAGCGATTCTGGCCAATTCGAAGGCTCCGGGGCCCTGCCACTGACCGGGGCCCCTTACCCGGGGTCCTGTCCATACCCGAACGGCAAGGGCCCGAGGGAGCAGGCAGAGAGGATGGGGAGGAGGGCCGCCTCAGAAAAAGACGCCGCCCGCCCCCGCAGGGCCAGAGCCCCCGCCCTCGAGAGGCAGTGGGCCTCCGCCGGGCGGCGCGCTGCGGGGCGGCCCGCCCATGGCGTCCCTGCCGTCCAGCACGTTCCGCATGCGGGTCCGCGCAATGGTCGACGGGTTGCGCGCGGCCTGGATGAAGATGCCCGGCCCCATGACCGCCTGCTGCTGCTCCTCCGGCAGGGCCCACAGCTCCGCCGCCACGCTGGAGTCGAGCTGGTTGATGTCGATGAAGATGGCGACCATCTCCTGGGTGGAGACGGTCTGCCTCACCCTGGCCATGACCACGCCCGACGGGTTCCGGATCCCGGACATGTTGCCGAGCTCGGTCATCACGTTCTGCCGCTGCAGCAGGCTGCACCGCGAGAGCACCTCGCCCACCCACCACTCCAGCCCGTTCTCGGAGACAAAGGCCTCGATGTTGCGGGGCAGGTGGCCGCCCCCGCCGGGGGCGCCGCGCGGCGGGCTGCGGCTCCGGTCGCGCCCGGCGGAGCCGTTCAGCAGGCCGACGAGGTTGGCCAGCGCGGCCGCCACGCCGTTCTGAGGCTGCCCGCCGCCGAGGGCTCCGCAGCCACCCGGGCCAGGGGCACCGCAGCCGCCCAGGCCGTCCGCCGGCGCGCAGCCGCCGGGCCCCTGGTCGAACCTGCTGGGCCGGCCCGGCTGGTAGTCCGGGGCGGACATGTGCTTGCCGTGGTCCACGCCGAGGCGCTCGCTCCGCAGGACGTCGGTGATGCGCTTCATGCAGACCCCGGAGGGGTTGTTGGCCTTCGCAATCTTGAGCGTCGACTCCATGACCTTCTCGTGCTGCTCGGGGGTCAGGGTGGACAGCCGGTCCACCACCCCCGGGTCCAGTCCGTTGATCTTCACGAACATGCTGAGCCTCTGCTCCGTGGAGGCCACCTCCTTGATCCTGCTGGTCAGGACGCCGTCCAGGTTGCGCGTGTGCTCCAGGTTGAAGGGCGTGCCCATCACGCGCTCGCGCTGCTGGTCGTCGAGGAGGTGCAGGGCCTCCGCGCACCAGGCCTCGAGGCCGTTCTGGGCGGTGAACTCCTCCACGCTGGGCACCGGGCCGCAGGGCGCCTGCTGGCCGGGCGCCTGCGCGGCCAGAGCGCCGCCGCAGCCGCCGCCGCCGCCGGCGCCGGCCAGGCCGGAGAGCATCTGCGCCAGCTGTGCGGCGGCCTCGGGGTTCCCCGTGGCCGCCGGGGAGCTCGACAGCGTGCTGGCCAGCTGGCCCAGCGCGCCCGCCAGAGCCGAGCTGTTCGCCATATGCCCGCAAAAGACGCCCGCCCGCCCGCCCGCGCCCCGGCGGGAGAGGCGCCCGCGCTCCGGAAGAGCCACCGGCCCCGAGCCTGGGGCCAGATATGGCTACGAACCGGGCTTCGCATGCTGTTGGCAAACGCGTTTTGCGCGCGCGCCTTCCTTGCGTACCTCGCCGCTGCGCCTCGTCGAGCCCTGCCGCGTGTGCTGCAAAGGTGGTGCGAGGCCATGGAGCGGCTTGCCTGGAGAGTCATGAACGATGCGTGAGGAGCTCCATGGGGAAACCAGAGGGTACCGATACCGCTGCTCCCCAGACCTCTGGCAGGGCACGTTCTGACCAAAGCTTGGAGCAGAATCCCAGAGGTGGCGACGGGGGCCGCCCAGGAGGCCCAGGGAGGGGAAGGCGCGGGAAGGGCCCCAGAGATCCGATGTCGTGATTTTTTCAGTAAGCGGTCCCCCGAGGTCTCGACCCATTCCCCAGGACCAGTTTTCCATTCTGAGTCCTTTTCTCGACGGTCCCGGGGCCTGGCGAGGGCCCCTAGGGGCCGGAAGTTTTTTTTTTATTTAACCAAAAAAAAAACAAAAAAAAACAAAACAAAAAAAACTCTGTCTTGATTTGTTCAATGCGTTGGATCTCTGGGGCAGCGGCATAGGTACCTCTTCCTCCCCGCGCTGCAGAGGGAGCCGCGAGCAGCACGAGAGAGGCCTCGGGTGGGGGGGAGGAACGAGGCTGTTGCCCTCGCCGGATCGCCCCGGGCCTCCCCGACCCCAGGCGGCCCAGGCCGGGAAGGGCGCAGAGGGGCAAAGGGAGGGAGGCGGGGGTGGGAGGGAGGGGGGGGAAGGGGGGGAGGGGGAGGAAGGCAGGGGAGAGGAGGGCGGAGCGAAGAGAGAGGTATAGAGAGAGAGGGGATCGAGGAGGGAGGCGGGGACGGGGCGGAGGGAGGGGGGAGGGAGGGCGGGCCGAAGTCCGAGAGACGGAAGAGGAACAGGGGGAAGGCGAAGGGAGGAAGGAGGAAGGAGAAACGAGACAGGGGGAGGAATCCAACCAGCAATTCGGGCCGTGAGCGGTTCAGAGCGCTTCCTCTTCCAATCCCCCGCTCTTCCCCGTCTGCCCCCTCTCCTGGACCTGGACGGGGGGGGTCGCGACCCAATGGGGCGTCCAAGCAGGCCGCCTAGGCGAGAAGGCACAGATCGCTGATGTGCCCCAGGTTTCAGCCCCACTTTGGCCTCTTGGTGGTGGGGGGGGTGGGGGGGCAAATATGGTCCTCCCCCCCGTTTCGTTGATCGATTTGTTCAAGGATGGACCTCAGGTCTCCCAAAAGTGCCCCAAGAGGGCCTCAAGAGGCGCACAGGAGGACCCAAGTGGCCCCAGAGGTTCCCAGCAGGCTCCCAAGAGACCCCAAGAGGCCCCAAGAGGCTCCCCCGAGGCACCCAAGACACTCAAAGAGGCCCCCATGACTGCAAAGAGACCCCCAAGTAGCCCCAAGAGGACCCCAAAAAGCTCTCAAGAGACACCCGAAGAGACTCCGCGAGGCATCCAACAGGCACCTGGCCATACCGCTCGCCATCGTCCTCCTCCTCCTCCTCCTCTTCCTCCTCCTCCTCCTCCTCCTCCTCCTCCTCCTCCTCCTCCTCCTCCTTCTCATCATCCCCCACCTGAACATCATCATCCTCCTCCTCCTCCTCCTTCTCCTCCTCTTCGTCGTCGTCCTCCTCATCCTCCTCCTCCCCGCTCCCCTCCCCCTCCTCGATCCGTCCCTTCTTGGGGTACGACGGCTTCACCAATCCGCCATTCCACTGCCATCCATACCCCTGATCAGGATTACTCGCCTGGACATCGTTTCTGGATGGGCTGGTTGGGTTACTTCTTTTTTAGTCAGCGGCCGCGGACGAGCGCGCCGGCGGCGAGTCAGGTCAAAGCGGGCCACGCAGCGACGAATGAGACTAAAGCAGCGGAGACAGGCCACACCTAAAGCGGCTAACCGAGGCCTCACGCGGCAACTCAGCGGCGGACCGGCGAGTGGCAGGGGGCAGCTGAAACTGAGTCGTACTGCCAGCGTGCAAGTATGCATGGCGTCGGAAGCACCAGGAAGTCGGGACAAACGACGACCCGGGTCGGAAGCCGAGGAATTGATGCATGGGCCTGAACCCCGGACAACTGCGTGAGTACCAGGGTGGCCGCAGCCAAAGGACCGCCGGTCGGGGTAGAATTGATGGTTGCAAATACGAAACCCTGAACGACTGCGTGAGTACCAGGGTGGCCCGAAGGACCGTCGGTCAAAGAATTAAAGCCAGGAGGTGAAAGCGTCGGCAGGCTGCAAATCCCAGGGTGGCCGTAGCCGAATGGTCCCGAGGCAGCAGAACGCACGAGGGCGGGGAGCAGCGGAGCTGCGACGCAGCCAAAATGGTGGCTGGTTGGGTTACGCGAACCGTCTAGAACCGAAAGGGCTGAGAAGCGACAAAGGTAAGGCGGATGAGGGGGAGACCTAGGGGGAAGAAGGAGACGGAGAGAGGGGCGGAGAACGACTGGGAGGAGGAAGAGACGGAGGGGCACCGACAATGTCTCTGTCGTTCCCTCGACCTTGCCCGCTGCCCTGCTGGCGCGCATGGTAGCAAGCTTCGCCTTCTTCCGCAACTTCACCTCGCCTGGGCGAGAGGGGGGGGGTAAGCGCAGGGATGGATGCCAGAGAGAGCGAAGACGTGTGGAGGAGGAGGGAGGGGCAACCCAGAGTTGAGGAGCACAGGTCGTCACGAGCCCCTGGAATACATCTCGGCGCCGTCTGGAGATGAAAGATGGAGAATGCAACACATGCACGGACACCCGACGAACTGTGTCAGGTTTCGCCTCTCGGTGAAATTCTGTGGAACGCACTGGGGCCTCTTGAATCGCGTGTGGTGCCATTTGTTGTTCCGTGCTGCTTCGCTCGCTGAGGCACTGCGGCAACTCTCCCAAAATGGTGGGCGGCGTGGGTTTTGAACATGTCCACAAACCTTGCGCCTATCAAACGGATGTTCTTGTCTCACATCTGTACCGTACTGACTGTCTATGGTGCGTGCTGCACGCGTGCACCAGAGCGCCTGCGTGCACCACGGCGCCTGCGTGCACCACTGCAGGGCGGGCAACAGTGGTGTCTGCAAACACGCTCGATACAGTACGGGCGAACAACTGCGAGAACATGATTGCAGTTCTGTCGGCACGCCCGTAGTTTGCGAGTACCGCGGCGCACCTGTGAGTACTTAGCTGCACTTGCGCCCTGTCGGCCACGCACCGAACCTGGAACCTGAAATCTCGATCCTCCGATCGGTATCCAATCAAGAACGTCCGCTTGACCTCAGCTCGGGGCCAACCGACGCCAGATGCTCGAGCTGCGCGCGGCTGCGGCGACGAGGGCCTCCAGAACCGCCCCGAGAACAAGCAGAAGGACAACTATTACGACCAGAAGCCAACGTCCACCAGGACGACTACTACGACTTCGATCCCGACGACCACACGACGACGACCACGATGACGACCGCGACGACGATCACGACGACTATGACGACGATCGCGACGATTACGAATCTTCGACGACTGCGACTGTCACGACGACGGTCACAAAGACGACAACACGCCGACGACGCATATCGCTACGACCAAAATGAGCACGACAATCATTGCGATTTCGACGACGACAACAACAAGAACGACTCACACAACAACGATCACCACGACCACAAGACAACAACGACGATGATTACAAGGACACCCCGCTCCCCCTCCAATTCCTTCTGCTCCTCCTCCTCCTCCTCCTCCTCCTCCCCCTCCTCCTCCTCCACGTCCTCCTCCTCCTCCATATCCTGCTCCTCCTCCTCCTCCTCCTCCTCCTCCTCCTCCTCCTCCTCCTCCTCCCCCTCTTCTACCTCCTCCTCCTCCCTCCTCCTCCTCCTCCTCCTCCTCCTCCTCCTCCTCCTCCTCCTCCTCCTCCCCCTCCCCCTCCTGACACCGCTTTCATGGCTGCGCCTGTTGCTTCTACTCCTGCTACCCATGCCACTGCCACAACTCTCGCGGCTCTGCAGGCACCAGAGCACCCAGTGCGCCCCGTGCGCGTGCGCAAGAACTGCCGCCGGACCCTGCATGTGCGACAGTAGCCTGCGAGCGCAGCACCATGTCTGCGAGCACGGGCAATGAGCCTGTCAACGCTACGCTATGGGACGCACAGAGACAAACTAATACGATATGTCCTCCTCAAAGGCGCGCGTCCGACCCGAACATGTAGTATACCCATCTGGTAGCACATGGTTTCCCGAGCGGTGTGGCCAGGCATATACTAGAAGACTTCTCGGCGCGCACGGCGCCCCTGGAGAGGGCGACGCACATATAATAAAAGCATGTTGGGTTGACGCCGACGCTAAGCCGTGAACATGAAATTAGCCCGCAAGGACCGCAGTGGCCTGCGAGCATCAGTATGGCAGCGCCGGAGGCTCACTACGGGAGGAGGGGAGGGCGTTATACGTTATGGTGTGGGGGGGAGGGGGGGGAGGCATAACACGCGGTATGGCCCAGAGGATTGAAAAACACACTCTGTGGGAGATGAAGCTTTACTTGGGTGAAGACTTTCCCAACGACAGAACACTTCAGTCCGCCGTACGACTCTAAAACAAGTTGCCATAACTTGCGTCATAGTTGCGCCAGGCAACCCGCAACCTACCAGACCGTCCATTGCAACAAAGAGTGCACCAACGCGCCACAGGTTGCACCAAGCGCCCCGTAACCAAATCGTTCGTTGGCCCTTAGTAGATGCTCCATTGCGCCATACTACCAGCGCATACGTAGCGCGTCACACTCCCGGCGGGCTACTAGACCTGCTTGGCACGGGGACGGAAAGCGCACTTACTTTCAGAGCGCACGGTATCGCTGGCTCGTCCGCTCTTACACCTCTTATTGACTCCCTTCCCCTCGCTCTTGTCCTATCTCAGCCTCGGAGAGTCGCGGAGCTTTCTTTGAGCGCGTTTCTTGTTTTGGAGGGGGC